ATAACATAACAGGAAATACAAAACCAGTGTTTGGATGACACAGAATATCCTTGGGTTCCATGTCATTTTGGAAAAGGGCAATTAAAGAAAGTGAGAGTCAAAATAGAGGACAGTTGCTGATGGCCCTGATAAATCTGGATGCTGAGAAAGACCTTTCTAATTTTAGATAAATATTACAAGACACGTATTTATGAGAGAATGTAGCCACTCAGAGTAGTTTGGATAGTAAATACAATTAATGACCTTGTGTTCCGACTGTGGTAATTAGCAGATACTTTATCCAGTACTGACTGACTGAAAAGAAATAATGGTACTATAGTCTAGTTCTGTTAGTTGCAGTATCTATCTTATCCTTCAGGCACCTGATGAAATTATTGTCACAAAAATTGAAAATTCTGTAATTCTGACAAAGTGTAGTGAATACTACTAAAAACTTTTAGATATGGAAAAAATAAAAGAGCCCTGAGCAATACAAGGTAAAGTCTGAAGACTTCCAATCTTGCTGTTTGAAACCTTCTGAGGAGTCCCAGATGCACTTCTCTAAGACATACAAGATGTAAGGATAGTGCTAGAGCTTTGTTCTTGCTTTGTATGGATTTGTACCAATTCACTGAGCCAAGGGAGAGCCAAAGCTCTCAGTTATCTGAAAGACAAAGGGACATATAACAACCTTTTCAATTTTGTTATGTCATAACTTTAAGTTTTACGTCAGACCAACCTGTGGATCACGTGATGTTAAACAAGACGCTGCAGAGGGAAGCATTTTTCTGGATTCTGTTTCTTATTTCTACTTTCTGCTAGCTGATCCATCTTGATTAGATCTGTAAAAGTTCAGCTAGAGCTGTCTCCATTGATTTTTAAGGAATGAAATCACAATCCTGAAATGTAAGAGTTTATTAAGCATTCCTTTGATTAATGCCACTAGCCCCCATGGGAAGTCAAGTACAATCAATATAGTAGACATATCCCCTCCTCACGTGCTGAAGATAACTCCGGCTGCCACATCACTTGGTTGAAGTGAATCATTTATATTCATGAAGATGGCAACACTGCTCTGAACCTTTAATCTAGCAAAGCTTGAATTTTATCAGTCAACTTCTCTGACTTCTTCCGTGCCAAGGTGAGTGAACTGTCTGTAGGTAACATGTAGGCAAAGCCTAAGGCAGCTTCTTATTCCCACATGACACTACACTGTGTCATAAATCCAGGTTGTTCCGTGGAGAAGGGAGAGCTGCAGCAGGATGTACACCGTGAGCATGTGTGCAGGAGAGCAGCATTACAGGAGGAGTAGGCTTCAGCTATTTCCATCAATAGAGCAAATCCTACCACTTTACCTACCTACAGGCTGACACAAGAGGGACGACTCCTCATGATTTTCCTTCTGACAGACCCCTTTTGGGAATTTAGATTAGATATTAGGAAGAATTTCTCACGGAGGGGGTGGTGAAACATTGGAACAGGTTGCCCAGAGAAGCTGTGGATGCCCCATCCCTGGAAGTGTTCAAGGCCAGGCTGGATGAGGCTTTGAGCAACCTGGTCTAGTGGAAGGTGTCCCTGCCCATGGCAGGGGGGTTGGAACTAGATGGTCTCTAACGTCCCTTCCAACCCAAACCATTCTCTGATTCTGTGATTTTTCCACAGAAATATTTTATCACAGTGAGGGGACTTGGATGAAGTCCCAAAATCTCAACTAGGTGGAACTGATTGGAGTCATAATGCAATTACCCAAGTTGAGGTTTTTAGTTTCAAATGAGAGCTCAGGTTTTGAATTAGGAAAGTGTGTAAAAATCCTTGCTGGAGTCAAAATGAGAAGTGAATGGATATTGAGTGATTGGATGAGGAGTCCTGACTGAGGTTCTATTCTGCTGGAGAGTTAAAACAACATAAACATGAATAGGATCTTGGACGTTTTTTTTTTTAAGTTAGATCATGTGGAAATCTTTAAGGATGAATATTTAAGAAAAACACATCAGTTTTCTGTCATAAAGAGGGAGAACACAATGACGGATAGGAATTAATTCTTCTTTCTCTTACTTGCCATTATCAAAATTCAGGATTCCCTCTCTGGACATCAGATCAATGCAATTAGTGTAATACCTTGTCCTGCTTTATTATAGCCATTCCAAAGATCTACAGATTGACCATGTTTCCTTAAAGTATGATACTAGCACATGGAAAGACAGTGTTTCATGGACATTGCACACAGCCTTTTGAGAACTTGCCTTGCTGCATCTTTAATTCAATCAGGGAATATTAAAGGGTCCATTAAAGACATTAATCCTCTTTTTTTTTTCCCCATCAGTATGACCTCAGGCAGACACTGATAGGTTTAGCATAATACCAAGATATTAAGAAAAGAATATGATTATAACATCAGTGGCCATTATAGAAAAACCTAATGAACCTGTCAAACTTATCATTAGTTTTAGACACAAAGAATAAAGCATGACATTGGAGTCAACCACGGACTGTATTATGTCACCAGAAATTATACAGTCCACATCTTATCTGAATCCATAAAAAATGCTATTCAGTATCCAAAAACTTTTAGAAAATGATAATATACCTTATTCCTAAATATATAATTTCTGTGTTTTGCTGAACATGTATGTTTGCAATGTTTAATATCAGTGAAACTGCAGTGAATTATTTCTGGATATGTAAGAAATGCATTTTCTTCGCATAAAAAATCCAAACTATTTCTACTCCATTTGTTGAGAACAATTTTTAAAAATATCAGAAAATGTTCTGTGTTTCTATTCTGGGCAATGCATAAACCACCCTAGTGAATGCTATGAAGAGAAAATGATTTCTACGTTTATAGAAAGTGCAAAAGCTGCCAACCAACATTTTGTGTACATCTCAAATTATTTATCCCACTGCAATCTTTCCTGACAACAAGGTAATTGCTTCAATAATACAAAACTAGAAAATAGCTTTTGCCACAGAAATCTTAGTTGTACATAAAACAGAAAGCAGGGTGTAACTATTGAACAGAAAATCATATTATGAGGAATATATTTCTTCATAGCACAATTCTTTCACTATTGAATTCAAAAGATCATTTCACTTGTTCCTGGAGATATTTTCCTTTATTCTTTGTTCCTGGAAAAGTTCCATATATATTTTAGATATACAAATTCTAAAATAATAA